CTCAAATAAATAAATAAAATCTTTAAAAAAAATTAAAAAAAAGAATCAAGCCCATAATTGAGGAATATATTAAACAATGCCAAAAAAAAAACCCCAAACAAACAAACAAAAAAACAAGGCCTAATTGTTCTATATACAAGCCCTTGTAATACCCCCATCCTTCCTCTCTGTGTCAAGTAAATAAATAAAATCTAAATACAGCTCTATTATAAAAAAAAATCAACAATTTAGCTGGACTGTTATGCCTCAGGACAGCTCAGAGGATTTCAGGGACTGGATTCTAAATTTTGTGTTTTTTTCCCCATAGCCCAGTGGTTATACTTTCTTCTAATAGCTAATCAGACCAAATCTCTCATCTGGTCAAAAGAGACCCAAGAAGCCTTATCAAAGACAGCCTTCGTGACTTACTTGCATTGGGTCACCTAAACTACAAGTTGCCTTTCTTCCTTTTTGTCCACAAAAGAAAGGGAAATGCCTTAGGGGCACTTACTCAATGCCATGGGGATCAACACAGGTCCATAGGATATTAGAGCCAACAATTAGATCCAGTAGCTAGGGGCTTCCCTCCTTGAGTAAGGGCAACTGCCGCTCCTGCCTAGCCAACTTGCTACAACGCGTAACAGGAACAGTGATAGGCTCTCTCCACTTACCATCTATGTGCCCCGCTCACCAGAAGCTTTGCTTTACTCTCCCCACACTCAGCTCTTATCTACTGGCAGGCTAACCTCCTACAAAATTCTTTCTCGCTCCCCCCGCCAGATGACCATTGCTTCCTGTAGCACTTTACACCCTGCCACGTGATGAAAATCATTTAACGCTGACTGACCAACTTTTAACCCCTTGAATTGATAAACAGGAAATGCCTCTCAAGAATGCTGAATTAGGGGCGCCTGGGTGGCTCAGATGGTTAAGCGTCTGCCTTCGGCTCAGGTCATGATCCCAGAGTCCTGGGATCAAGTCCCCGCATCGGGCTCTCTGCTCCTTGGGAGCCTGCTTCTCCTCTGCCTCTCTCTCTCTGTCTCTCATGAATAAATAAATAAAATCTTAA